TTCCAGTATGGCTCAAAAATCAAGCCAAAGTCTTTTCTGAGGTTCAACACAAACTCTGGTTGTGAGCCTCTATGAAAATCTAAAAGAGACTTAAATAGTTCTGACATAAAATGGCATAAAATAGGCATTCCCATTCCAAAAGGGAGGAAAAGGGGAATAGAAAGGACTCAGACCAAAGTAAGACGAAACCAACTGGGTAAACATTAAGTCCGTTAGCTCCAGGCCCAGCACCGGGGCAGGTTGTGACAAACTGTGAAGTCTGAAGGGCACTGTTGGCTGTGCCCCTCTGGCATTGCTACATGGCCTTTCTCTTGGCTTGCTTTTTCTCACTGTTAGGAGCTTTCCTCAGAAGATGTTGTCGATTCCTGGCATCTCTAATTCCCTGAGGTCTCCAAAGTCTCAAGACACGGGCACAATGTAGATAAATTTTCTGCCATGGGGCAACTCAGGTGACCTCGGGTCCAGCAGCAAATGGAATCATTGTTCCCAAATAAAACCTCATGAACTTGGCCTTTATTATTGGCATTTCTCTCAACATTTTAGGCTTCTGAGCTCTGATTAGAATCACTCATCAGGCTCTGTTTGCAGCTTTTAGGGCTGCTCTATTCTGCATCTCCAGATAGTTTTAAACTCCTTTTTCAAACCAGTTCTAAAAGCTTCTACACCACATGGTTAGGTAGAGGCATGGCAATGAAGCCACTTTTCCAATATCAAAATTTGAATCAGTGAAAGTTCTTTAAAAGAATAGAAATGATAGAAAATACATGAAAACTTTTGCAAGGGGATGATTAGGTAGGTGTTCTGGATGATAGGTGGGAGTATCCACAATGGCCATCTGTAACACTAGACAGCCAGTGTAGAAAAAATGAATTTTCAAGCTTTATTTTTCCATTCCATTGGGTCACGGGTTTAAATAACATTTCCTTAACTATGAGTGTTCTAAGAATTTTCGCACAAGTTCAAAAGCTATGTTTCTTTCCCTATTCTTTTGGTCCTGTTCCCATATTCTGCTAGAATGTAAAATGGAGTATTTAAGAATGTTTTGGTCTCTCCTTTGTTTCCTTTTCTTAGTACATTGTAAGATACTCAAGCTCTACTTCTTGCATGGGACGAGCTGCTCTCCCTATATTTGTGCCAATGGGCTATTCCTACATATGATTGTAATTTAAGAAGGTACCAGTTTATCACTGCATATGCTTACCGATGAATCTATAATTACATACAAATGCATCTGACTAGGAATCACTGATATTTGAAAAAGACATATGATACCTATTCTGGAGGGAATTGTATGAAAGTCTTTAGTTTTCATTGCAGAATGAATGTCACATTTTTTTTGCAATATGCCTTTAGGTCAGAATCACTCTCACATAGTGTATCATTTTACACTTCACCATGGGGCATATTTTAATTTATTTTTCCTGTGATTCTTACATACAAACATTAGAATTCATAAGCACACAAAAATTAATTTTAAGGGTCTTTTATACAAATGGCAGACCAAAATCTGGGCTGTTATGACTTCTTCTACACCCGTGATGGACCTTTCTCAATTTATTCTTAGAAGCTGTCTTCCCCATAAGAGAGCTCAATAGTACTGGAGAAAGGATTTGTAACCCTTTGGCAAAGCAATAGCTAAGAGTGATAAACATTTTAAAAAATCCTCTAGCAGACACATATTATAAATGAGGGGGTCTTTTATAAAGATAAATGTGGAAAGGACAGTCATGCATCAGCTGCCAGTGCAACAGCTGCAGGGTCACTGGGACTGAAGTCTGATAGGGTTTCTACTCCACTCCCGTGTTTCTGAGAGACTGAGACATGAGCCTTCATTTTCCTGCGAAGATTTTGCTGTATTTGATTCTGAAATTCTTTCCCTTAATAAAATAAAACATTTTTTCTATAAAAATGCATCTTAAGTGATCTACTAATAAGTTTATATGGTCGCTGTATGTCCGTTTCTATTGTTCAGGAGTAAATTATGGGGATTTGGGAAGCACTTTGAATTGTCACTGTATTTTTTCTTCGCATTTTATTTCAGCTTTGAAGCAAAAGTATGTAATTTGATTATTATTGACGTCACAAAATAAATTAATTTAGTTTAAGACTGAATAGTACAATCAGATTGCTTCTGTGTTCTGGAACAAAGGCTTTTCAGAAATTTGCAATTGGCCTTTTCTTCATTTTTCAATATTCTGAGCTTCCTAACCTACTCCTGGCAGAATTAGCTATGCAATTAAGTTAAACTGAGAGAAAAATGCAAAAGAATTCTTTTAAGACCTTGTGTTCAGCACAGTTGTCCAAGTTTCACTGCCCTCCTCCCTTCGAGAACACCTCTGCTATCTCTTCTTTAAAGACAGCCTCAGTCACTGTTCTTATTTAACTGCTCTGTGATCATTCTGTTGTGGCACAATGTGTCTTTTGATGTGTTTATATTAGCATCCTTTTGGCAACTGAAATGAAATTTACATATGTGTTACATGTATTGACAACTGCGGAGAACTAACAACCTGTTCACCCTTTTGGGGTGAACTGGCTGTTCTCTTAACCTTAATAGCTTCTTTGTTATTGATTTGCTATTTACCCTGTCACCTATATCTATAAAGTTTGCTATTCACTAATTCTTTAGCTCATGTATTATTTTACAATAATTCATGAATTCACTATTCTTACTATGTACTGAGCATCAGTCTAGGCAAGGGGCAAAAGATACAAAATTCAGTTTATATGTTAATGTCTGTTACTCTAAAACAATATTATAGGCATACAAGTTCATGAATCCAGTCAAATTGGTTTCTTTCATGTGTAGGTGGGGAGAAACCCAGGACCTCACTACTGAAGACCAAAAGAATATAAAAAATGGCATTAAAAGCGAAAGAAAGGCAGGAAGACAGTGACAGCAATGGTCAAAGAAGCCTCCTGAGAGGAGGTGGCATCTGAGCAGAGACCTGCAGGAAGTGGTGCAGCAGCCACGTCAACATGGGAGGGAGCGTGCGAGGCAGCAGTGATAGTAAGGACAAGGCTCTGAGTTAACGTAGCGTTAACAGGAGATGGAGACCCAGCCCCACCATTTCCATGTAATACTGTACTCAGAGGTTCTCACAAGAGAGGTATTCATGAACAGGAGCAACACTGCATGTGAAGAGAAAACCCACCCTCACCGCAGGGACAGTGAGTTGGTAGAGGCCATTGTAAGCTCTTTTTTGTTTATGACTTAAAAAATATTGTTGGCAAATAGAATCTAGCAAGATTACTTTAATTAAAAGTTAAAATTTATTCTGTGACCTAAAATTAGTAACTGCATTGGTATCATCAGAATTGCCACTTAAAACTTGGACACAGTAGGACAGTGTAAATAACCAACACACAGGTATGTGAAAAGATGAAAACGTGCTCAAATTTTCTAATAGTTAAGAAAATGAAAACAATGGGAGGGGCTTGTGTTTGGTTTAATGTGGACTGAGACTTTCCCACAACTCAAATGGTGACTAAAAGTCTACTTGCCTTGGTGTTGCCAGCAAGAGGACTTTTGTAGGTTTGAAAACAATATAATAGAAGGGAAAAATAAACCATCCCTTGTTGCATCTGTCAAATTCAACCCACTTCTCTCTCTTCTTATCTCCTACTCCCAACATACTTATAAGATTATATGATCGAGGAGAAAATAAATACTGGATCCATACCAGGTTGCTAACTTGAGTTACTTTGGCAGAGATGCTATTTAGGAAGTATAAAGGGAGATAGGAAATCACCTAAAAAATTACTGCAATATCAGAAAATCTGACTGGATTCATGCACTTGTATGCCTATATAATATTGTTTCAGAGTAACAGACATTGACATATGAACTGAATAATTTGTATGGTGTTTGTTCTGGGGAATATATTCAGATTTTAATGAAAAGAATCACTAAAGACACAGAAGAAACCACTGTAGAATGTAGACCAGTCATGTTCATAATTTGTGACTGTAAGACACACATGAAACTTAAAAATTCAAAAAAGAAGTAAACTAATTGACTATGAGTGTTCAGATACATTGAAAGAAATATCTGTGGAATGTATTTTTATTTTTATTTTTTGGTACCAGGGATCAAACTCATGACCTCGTGCTTACCAGGCAAGTGCTTGAGCCACTGAGCTAAATCCCTAGTCCCTGGGAATGTATTTTTAAAAAACCTCTTATCTAGATTTAATTGTAATGAACAATATTTAAAATAAGGAGCCTAAAAATCACTATATTTCATCAAAAGTTGGATGCTAGCTGTATGTTTTTTGTAGTTCATTGTACTAAGAGATTAAAGGGTTTTCAGTTTAGTCATATCCTCCCAAATGGTTGCAGTTGTACTTTAGTACTTGTTAACTGGTTCAGGGAGGTAGGGTAAGTACCAAAAGAGGAATACCAAGTATATTATTTGGACTAGAAAGAATAGTGACTCATGCGACAATCAGCAAGCACAAGTTGTACGTTGTATGACAGGCATACCAAGCAAAAGATGAAGACTCCAACAAAATTTCAGCGTCAAAAATCATCAAGTAGCAATTCAGCTAGCAAAGTGTGACTATATGAAAGTATGACTGTATTTCAGAACATGTGTTAATCATGAATCTCCCTGGCAGTAAACTGCTAACTGGTGTACTCCTGCCTGAATTTGTTTATATGTGAAGTCCGGCCTTTAGGTTTGGCCTTTGTACTCGGACAAAGCCTTATGACTGATGAGGGGAGGAGAGTCGCTCTGTGTCCACAGTGCTGCCACCTGTCTGCTGCACCCTCCTTTACATCGCTGGAAAGGAAGAGGTCCCATGACCATGGGGATGACTCTGGTGGCCTCAGATAACTTTGAAAGTAACATTTGAATGTCAGACTTTTGAAATAGAATTTTAGAACAATCTCCCAGAAAAGGGCAACACAGCACTGAAAGAAACTGAAGATTCACTGAAAAAAAATTAAACCCACATTTAAGAAGTAAATGATGGAAATTAAAACACAGACAAACATGATTAGAATGAAAATGACTTCCATGTTTATGTTTGTCAGCAATATAGTTATTTACAAATAATCCATATGAAAATGTAAAAAAGCATATTACATCTTCACATGCCACATAAGTGAAAAGCTTACTGAAATTATTTGCAAATCTGTACTTAATTGTAATAGACATTTTGTGCATTAAAAAGAAATGTACATAATTCAAAATAAATTACATTATACAATTTACAAATTAATATTAACAAAAAATTCATAGACAGCTGCCTCCTTATTTAAATGAAATAAATACTCAGGTAGTTAAATTAACAAAAAATACACATTTAAGAGATTATGATTCATAGTATGAGAGGCTGGAAATTTGATAAATTTATATTTTACAGTGACAGATACTGATCTCTTCAAATCTCTGATAAAAACAATCAGGAAAAAGTACCAGAAAGGGAATCTAAATAATTACTTTCTAAAAATGAACACAAATAGATCCCTGAAGAACAACTAGAAAAAGCTTATTGACGCTTAAAGTAAGCATTCTAGAAATTATTACTTACAAAAAAAAAAAAAAAAACCAAAACACTCCATAACACAAAAAACAAAACTGACAATAATAAAACAGTAATATTCTATAGAATAAAGATTTTTGATCACTGGAAACATGACTGTCACGAACTAAAACTCTTCATATACTGCTTGGCTCATGGTCTGGCTTGATAGAAGCACAAAGACAATAAACAAAACAAAACTCTCCCAAAATGAACCCTGTTCATTCGGCATTTGTTTAATTCATTGACTAATGTAGGCATAATCATTTTTCAGGTACCTTCTAGGTATAAATTTATCATTCCACATCACAACAGCCCTTTCTTAAAAGAAAAACCGTGCACGAGGCCCACATTGGAGTTCCCAATGCTGCAGTCCTGACTGCAAGCAAGGCCCTCTGTGCGTGGGCTCAGCTGGCGCTGCTGTTAACAAAACAGGCAGGTGTGGTTCTCACTTCTCAAATGGACCCACGAAGATCATGCTCTGCAAGATTCCTTACAAATCTGTAAAGAAATTGTCGTTCCTACACCCTCAACCTTAGAGAGAAAATAGGACATTTGGATTTGGCAATACTTTTACAAATAGGGACATCTCAGATCACTTGAACACAGGATTCTGTTGAGATCTCAAATCTAGCAAGGCAGAGGCTTTCCTTTCTGTACACTATTGAAAGGTACAGGCCTTCTTCACCATCTTGCAAAGTGGGAAAAAGGATCTGAGATGGTTGTAGAAAGAATAAAAAGAGACTGAGTAGTAAGTGTAGGCAATGATGTTTTTATAGAAAAAATTTGTTCATTTGTTTTGAAGTGCCTTCCACATGTTTCCTTTCCCCTCTAATAATTTCTTTGACCAGTCCATTCTGCTCAAATCAAGATGTTCATACTCTGACACTTTAATTCCTATAGGAAGGCAATGTAAATATTCTCTATGTTTTTAAATTCAAATTTGAGTTTAGTGGCAGGTGATTCTGAGGGACATAGACAAGAGTAGCCATTGCTAAAGACAGTAGGGTGGAGAGAACCCAGGCAGAGAAAATCAGCATTAGAGGAACATGAATACAATTATTTGAAGGAGGTAAATAAATATGTGGGAGGTACTACTTGCTCCCCACAAGAAGGAGTGACTTTCTCTTGAAATACCCATGAATTTAACAGAGTTTTGATTACATTGCAATGGCTCCTCCCAGCTCTCTAAGGGGAGGAATAGGAAAAATACCAAAATTCTCATAGCCTGGCTCAGGACATTCATGTGGAAAAATACTAACCACACTTACAAACAAATCTAGAGTAAAAGGCAATGCATTTAAGTCCTATTATCACTCTTTAAGCTTTTTTCTTATTTTGAATGTCTTAAGCATCTATTTATACAAAAGCCATTACTAATTTTTATAGTACCTAGTAGAGTGTCTTACATATGATAATTGCATGAAGATTTGTTGTAAGTAATTTGTGCTTAATTATTAGCGAAGACATGCTTTTATGTACTCCTTTCTTTTTACACTGTAGGGTCCTCAAAAAGATACTGAAAAAGAATTATGGTTAATGTATTCGATTAGGTATTGATAAATAAGCAAATCACTCCCTTTGAAGAGAGATCAGTTATGTCACTTGTATGTGGTTCCAAATGAAACAGTCCAGCAAAATCATGCAACACTGTGCCAATATTTTTCTTTTCTTTTCTTTTTAACTAAGCAGACCTTCATACTTATAGACCAATATTTCTAAATCTTTTTGAGCTCACAGATAATTTTGGTAAGGCAAAATGTGAATAGACAAGTTACTACTATGTTCCTGTCCTGAGTTTGTGGAATGAGCAGGAAAAGTCAGGTTTTGTTGAAATTCTAGTAAAGTATTTAAACTATGATGGACTCTTGCTAGGAACAAAAATAAGGTCTTTCTTATAAACAAGAGCATAGTAACCTCCCATTCATCCAAACTAGGCAAATAGCTGCACTGCCTTCTTCCCATGTTTATAACAAGAAGACATCAAGTATGGATTTATTCTAAAAATGAGCCTCCAATAGGTTTGCAGTGTTAAGATGCATTGACTCTAACCTCTCCATATGTATAGAGTGCTACAAGATGATATTTTAATAATACTTTATAGTTTCCATTTCTAAGTTCATTTAATTTGTACAATGTAAGTCAGATAATAGTGATTTGTCTTCTGAATCAATGGGATTTTCAATATTTTAAGCGCAGATTTAATTGGAATAATGTTTTATTCTAGAGTACATTACAAATAGCTAGGTGTTATACACAATTCATAAGATAATTTTTCAAGTAATTGCAATAGATTTTTAGCCATTTTGAACAAATGAAGTTTATTTTATTCAATGAGATCAACTTGAGAATTATATGGAAGGCCCCTGAGTACACATATTGATAATTAAGTTTTAGAATAATAATAATATTTTTCTTCCTTTTCAATAAAAGAGGTGAAATGGAATTTGTTTTTCCTTGATTAATTCCTCATCTTATAATGAAATTCTTATCTTTCTATTTGTTATCTTTGAAATGATTTTCATTATATAATATATTGAACATGGATTAAGGATGAATATTTATTTCTTATTGAAATAGGTAGAAATATTTTTATTTTTAGGGACAATGACATCCTGATGCAAATATCCTAATCCACAGCTGGAGGAGTTCAAAATTCACTGTGTACTGTGTGAAGGTAAAAACATAATCCAAAAATTTTCACAAAAACACAGTCAAGTTTAAGATAATAAAATTTGTTGCTACTTTTAAAAGACCTTAAAACCTCACCTTCTTGCTCTCCCAAACACTGTTGTATTGTTGCCCTAAAATAACATTGCTTTTTAATGACCTTTCAAACCCTCTTTTCATAAGAAAGAAGTCTGCTAAATCAGTTACTGTTTCTACTGCTTTATTCTAATAGTCTCTGGGTGACTTCTGTGGAAAATATAGCAACTTTCAATGCAATGGTAAATTTAGTGATTGAATTTTCTTCTTTGAAATTGAGCTCTGAGGACAGACAGATGGTAAGTGAATGAAAACCAAAGATGACACAAGGAAGATCTATAGCAAGGGGTCAGAAATCCAGCGTAGAAAATGAGGCCTGCCTGCTGGTTTTTGTAAGGCAAATTTAACTGAAAAGCAGTCATGTTCATTCTTTTTCTTACTAGGTATCATCTATGCATGAAAGAGTCAAGAAATTGTTATGTAGACCAAGCTGGAAATCTTTACTATTTAATTCTTAAGAGAAAATATTTGCCACCGTTGGTGTAGATACTTAAGCCCCAGACAAGATACTTATTCTTACCTTTCTCAAATTTTAGTTTTTGAAATCACATCTTTAAAAGACTACTTCACATTTAACTAGTGAGAAAGACAAAAGACTATGGGACTTAGAAATAGTGACTGTAGGACACTTTGAATCTGAAACTCAGAAAGCAAATCAGGAAGAAAGAAGGATGAACACATCATTTTGACTTCTTTTAGTTACAAAAATCATTGATACATTATTTTTCCATCTGCTTGGCATTAAAAAGACAACCAGTACCTTTTTTTCTTTTCTTTTCTTTTTTTTTTTTTTAACAAAGATAAATATAAAAATCTTGTCATAAACAGCCTTCAAAGAACAATTACAAACCAACTAGAAGGATCCACTTTCTGAGGGTTCATGGTCTGGGGACCTCAACCCTTGAGTTAGAACCATGTTGCTAGTTTGCACTGGCTTTAGTGAGGAGGAAGAGTGCTTACAGCAGGTGTAATAGCCGATTCCACGCTGGTGCCATCCAAACTGGACTTAACTCTCTCCAGGGTACAAGAAATTTTCAAATGTCTCCAGGACACTCTTGGCACAGATGTCTTCATACCATATGAAAAGAGGCAGTTTCTATGGCAATACTGGGTAAGTGTCCATCATGTTGCACTAATATAGTGCAAAATTGTGCCTTCTATATAGCAAAAAAGATGCAGGCAACCAGTTTGAAAATGAGGGAAAGTAGAAATATATTATAGCAACACAAGCAAATCAGTTTTCCAGACAATAACCACTACAAAATATGGAAATTTGGACTTTTTCTAAGATACTAGTACAGGTCCAGCATTTGTACATTGTGGAGAGACAGGAATGAAGTCTTAGAAAGGACTTTCGTCTCTGAAATGCAAGTCATAAATGCTACCATAAGCCATAAAGATGCTGACTTTATTCCATGGGGTTTCTGCTCAGCTTGGAGCTGACCTCTTCACTGTTAAAGTTGCTTGTTATCAAGTACATAATAAGACATTATAATAAATATCATTCAGTTGAGTATACATGTGTTATGTTGGACTATAGTACTGTAGAGGTCATGGTATAAACTCTTCATGCTAGACAGTTCTGTGGATTTAAACACTGCAAATAGTCTTGCATCAGGCATCCCCAATCTGGCCAATTTCACCACTAGTTTTTAGAGATAAAAGTGGTTTCTCAATTGGTAGATTTCAAGAAAGATGACACAAAATTCTCAAAATGCAGCATGTATTCAACTAAATCTCCCAGAATTCTTAGGGTGGATGGTCTATGTGTAAGTGGTACTCTCTTGAAGGTTTCCAGTGGCAATGGAATTTCCACTCTTTTCTTTATGATGCTCTTCTAAACAGTTAAAATGAATTATAATCCATAGTTTGGACACTGTCATTGTGGCCTCTGGTTTTCTACTATAGAGTCAGAAAGCCAAAATTTGTTGTTGTCAGGAAAAGGTATGTGTTACATGTCTGCGTCTCCATCATAAGCTAAAGTTAAAGGTTTCAGTCGGTTGTTTTGCCTTCTTTGGGGTTTCTTTGGCTTTTTGCTGTAAGAAATTTGTTAAAATCGAGAGAAAAAAATAAATCTTTAGTTGTGAATTTTATAATTTTAAATGAAAAGGTTAAAAATGCTAAATCTGCATTGCTCACATCACCTAACTTTGACCTTAGAATTTGATTTTTCTTGTCTCTTTGAATTTCAGTTTTGGCTCTGAAAAAACTTTAGTAAACCTCAGGTATCTTACTACCTTATAAAAGACAAGTTATTCAAGTGCAATTCTTCTAGTACTAACAACAAAAATGACATTATAATAATTTGTATTTGGTTATAAACCTTGATAAATTATACTGAATTTATAAGCAATACATCCTTACATAGCTGAATAAGATTATATATTTCTATAATCTCCTCCTCCAGTAGTAATTCACTATAAAAATGTTCAGTTTAATACAGTCCTTATGAAATAACATTCTTTGGCATATGTGGAAGAGAATAAATTTGAAAAGATGACCTAGAATACCTGGCTTATCTCCAGGAAGGAAACAGCTCAGTTAGTAGTTTTTAGTCATCTAAGACTAAAGCCTTATTTATTTAACACTCCATGTAGCATGTTAAATACTTATTTCAGATATTAGTTTGTTGTTTCTATGTTTCAGATACCTGAAAGTATTTTCTTTGAAATAGAGACATATTTCTCATTAGACTTTAAAACATTTAGACACTCACCATGCTAGATAAATCATGGAGACAATAAAGATGAGTAACACAAATGCCCCAGCTGCGACACCATAAACCCAGGTCTTTAGTCTCCCATCTAAGAAGAATGGATATTAGCTATTAATTCCCATTGCTCTGGAATACACATGACAGTCTTTCACTATGGCCAGTGACCAGCCACGTAAGATCAATGCCTTTTCAAAATTCAAAATAAATTATTTCTTCAGCGAGTCATTGATGAACACATTTACTATTATGAATTAGATGCTGCTTCACTAATGATAAATTAGCAATAAAGATTCATTGCAAAGCAATAAATAGCATTCGTATTCAGATATTGAGTTTATGCCTAAACTTGTACTATTTCTTGCCTGAGTTTTCCTCAAATTTAATATGTATAATGCTATATAAATATTTTACACGTATTTTGAGAATGAATAATTAAAAGATGAAAAATTAATTTAAATAAACTCCTACAATTCAGAGTTGATGCAGAATGGTATTTAAAAATGGAGTCATTTTAACATTTTTTTCTACATGAAAACAAAATGAATAAACTTAACATTCATTTTACAGCTAATAATCTTTTATTGACTCTATACATAAACCATCCCTTGACATTGGTTTGACAATATATTATTTGGAAAAAATCATTTTAAATAGCATATTCAAAACTCCCTAACTTTTCTAATATATAAAATCAAATATCATATGAATTTTTCTAATTAATTCAGTTTTCTGGTCTTATTCTCTTAGAGTTTCTCAATTATATGTTCTGAGTAAACTTCAAACACATGATACCTCTTGTGTTGCCTAACTTAAATTGATGCTTCATACATACAATTAAGTACATGCTATCAGTTAAAATTATGGATTGGTCAAAACCGGTCCTATGGAGAACGATGTTTATTCAATATTTGAAAGTCATCATCAGAAGCAAACTGGTATGGTGTATTTGATTTTTTGGGGGTGGTCTGGAGCTGGATCAAGTTAGAGGTTCATTTTCTGGTAATAAGCTAAATTAATATTTCAAATATTGTTTCTCTTAAGTCCTGAAGATTTAAGTAAAATTAGCTGAGTTTAAAATTAAAAAAAGAGAGAGATTCTGCTTTTTGGTGTCTTTGCATTAAAAATTCTTTAACAAATATTCTTTGGATTTTTCAAAAAACAAATAATATCTGTGAGTTTTCAGAAGGTGCATCCTTTAAATTCTAAAATTTTCACTTTGGGTAAACTATACATTTAATTAAAAATAATGATGATAATATTCTTTTCATTATACCGTGTCTGGATATGGCAGATCTGCTCAAATTCTTCATTCAAAGACAAGATTGTTTATGGCCATTTACTGGTCTACTGCTTACATAGACAAATCAGCTCTGCATAATGAATTACATTTTCAGAAAAATAAAAATCTCTACTCAAAGCAGATATAGTGTAGATAAAGCTAATTACTCAAATATTTAACATACCTTTAAAAATTCTATTATGCTTCTCCAACAAGGGAAGGCATTTTTGTTTAATTGATTAGAGATAGAGATATGTTAGCTCTGTGGATTCCTTTCTTCATTTCTTATGTTTCTAATAGAGGTACAAAATAGACTATGCAGCTGTGCCTGGAGATTTCCTCTGTTCATGAATTAGTAATTCCTCCAGTGTGTTAAAAAATAAAAGTATCAGTATCTTAGCTGCTATCTAGTATTCAGAGGAACTTTTCATACAATTGACTCCAATTAAGGACAGAAAGTGTACAAAGTAGGGAATAATATTTCTTCAGGTCTTCAAGCTTTTGCCTGTGTCAGCTTCCAGTCCACTACTAGAAACATTAGACCCATCTGCTTAATGTGACAATGGTCTGGTCAGTCTTCAAGTTTGGGTCATCCCGTTTAGTCAGGAAGGCTCAGTCCCTGCCCTTACAAATCTGATACTAGTATAAATTCTCAGATTTTCAGATTTTTAAGGCTGGTATAAATTTTTCTGATGACCACGTGTCTTTGTTACAGAACTGTAACACTGAATTTCTAATTAAGGTTCAGCTATTACCTCTTTGTGATCAAACTGAAAATTCTAGAATGTCTTTTCAGTGTTTTTTGTCTGAGTTGTGAATAAGATCGTATCTTTTCCCCCCAAATTTATATTTTCATTATTACATTTCTTCGTTCAGTATTCAATTAATTATATCTATAACTTTAGGGCAGGGTTGAAATACATAATATCAATTCTAAAAACTGATCAGAAGAAAGTAATTTCATTGTATAAACTGAGTGTGAGTGTTCTTATGTGTAATAATAAGATATAATAGTAAATAGCCGTATTAGAATAAATGAGTATAAATGAAATAATAAACAGTTCTGTGAAAATGTTTGTTCATTTAAAAAAATCTGTTGGTAGCACTGGCTAACGGCATGCTAACGGACTAAGTATCAGTGCTGTCTAGTCATTTCACCTGGCCCAAATGGCTGCAGAAACCAGCTTCTAGCCCGGCCTGCTGGATTAATGGAGGGCTGGGTTGGATGAACCGCACGGCTGGTTTTCACGTCTCCCCTCTTGTCTTCCACTGTGGGTATCACCACCACGGGGATAAGTGTGCACTGCTCAAGTGTGCTGTTGGAAGACATGACTTCAGTGTATCCTTCTTCGCAGTGGCAAGTCCTTGTCTGCAGGACAACATGAAGGTTAGCGCCAAGCATGCAAGGTGATCTTTCTAATAACTGACCTACTTGAAAGAAAAAACTTTAGAGAAGATTTTTTAAAATTCAGCACATATAATTTGTTTTAATGACATCAAATATGAGCTTGTCTTTTGTATTACACAGTTGTTTTAAACATAAATATGTTCCCAATTGGTTCCAATGTTAAATATGGCAATTTTATATTCTCAAAATGTGTTCTGGGGAGAAGGGAGTAATTGGATCAAGGACAGAGGGCAACAAATAATGCAGGCAGCATGTCCACCCCAACAGATTTATACCCACCTCGCTACAGAACGAATGAGGTTGAGTACATGGAGGGTTACAAGACCTATCAGCATCAGGCTGGCTCAGCACCAGGCAGCCCCCTGCAGAACAGAAAATCTTATTTGGACAAATGGCACTTCTTTCTATGATAAAAATGTATTGTTGTTATGGACTTGTCTTTGAATCTTGAACCATTCTATAAGTCTCAAAAATTTTTCGGTCTGTTATCTGGTTATTTTACTTAATAACTGAAGTCTTTCTTACCCATAAGTGACAACATGAAACCTGGGACTTACTAGGTATCGATGTGTATTAGAAGGATGATTTTATAGCTGCTGTCTTGTAAATATTAGATGTGTGCTACCCACTTCTGTCAGTAGTTCCTCAAGCCAAGCCCAGCGATAAAAAGCAGATTTAACTTTCTTCTACAGCCAAAATTCTTATTTGACAATTCAAAATAATAGTTTTCATGCCTCTTTAAATAAGTTTAATTTATGTGACCACTGCATAAATGTATTTTTATAACAAATATTTATTTATGATAAATATCACTATTCCTATTAATTTAATATATTTTTGTGATATAAAGAAGACAAATATAGATATCAAGTTGTTTGTACTTTTTAAACTTTACATTGCAGGTATTTAACCCTTTTTCTTTCAATTTTTTAGTTGTTGTAAGAGATGTTTTAAGATGTGAATATATATCTTAAGAAACAACACTGGTAATGTGGAAGGTACACTTTCAAATTACACTTGTTCAGTTTAACAGAATTTTAGCAAGAAATTTTTTATTTGATTATGGAATTGATAATCCTCTGGATTTGATCCAAGGCCAAGTGGTAAATTCTTTGTCTTTCGCCATTATAAATAAAAACACTCATGTAAAAGTTGTTATAGAAAAGCAGTTGCTGCAAGGAAATTTTAAGTTCAGTGGCTTTATAAATTATTATCATGGAACACCTAGTTTCTTAGGACAACAATTTATAAATTAAAATAACTTATTGTTTGCATATAGAATCTCATCTCTCCTTACAGAGAGAAGAATGCACAAAGAACTTATCACACGTCATTTACACATTACCAGACAGCATTAGAAATACACTGGATATAATATTAAAAAAATATAATTTCTTCAATTAAATCTTTAAAGCTTGACTTAACTTTGCATTGTAAAGAGCCCAGGCACAGAGTAAAAAGAACCTTAATATGGGCCAGAAAAGTTGGACTATGTTATTTGCATATATTTTTGGAAAAAAATGGCAAACTTAATAAGATCTTTCTGGTTAAGCTAATTCTTGCAGAATAGTTTAAAGAATATAGAAAACTGTTTCCAACTTCTATGTTGAAGGGCTGACTTCTATAACACCATCTGATTTAGAAAGCCTATTCCTGCTCAGGGCTGTTCTAACCCATGCTTCTTACCAGTGGGGCTCAGGTGGACTTTTCTCCTGCCAATAATGCCCTTAAGAAAGCAAAGGATCCTGATACATCTTTCCTTTGTTACATATGTATCCACTGGAAGATGCAGTTTTCAAGGGTGTCTTGGTACTGCTTTATCATGTTAAAAATCACATCTTCACAAGAATAGAATTGGACATCATGTTACAACTTCCATAGGGATGAAATAAATAGTCCGGGTGATTTAAAATTAAGCATAAACATTGATGGTTTTCAAAAACCAAATTGATCTTTGCTCATATTATCTTACCATATATACTAAGGTTAAAATTGTAAATGGACATTACTGATGCGCATGCAAGTGCTCACTATTTTTTCTTTCTGCAGGAAGATTAGGATAGCAGCAGGACAGGAGGCGCCCCTGAGCAACTAACTCACTGCCTGTACTACCACTTCCAGTGTGCTACGCAGATTTTTGTATGTTAGAGCTACGAAAAGAAATTTTTGGATCCATACATCTGAGGTTGAGGTTCTGACTGACTGATTTTCATTTCTTTCTAGAAAATACGCAAAACAACTCACTACATATCTTATTTTTTCTTTCCGTATTAATGAGTCCTTGAGTTTTACTGCTTTTGCTGGAATCACATAGAGATACTCTTAGTAACTGCAGATTAGAACAACTTTTTGGAAGTAAATTTAGGTCAAAGCACAATAGAAACCCCTCGGCATTTCTTCCTTGGAAGTGTAATAATTTAAGGTGAGGACATAGTAAATAAACTTTTCAGATGGTCTAGGTTTGAGACTTACCAGTAAGCGTTACCTTTTATTAAAAATTCACAATCACAGATTTTTAATTTAACAAAGTTATTTAGATTTATATAATCCTACACTCTTGGTGATTTTTCTGGCTGGCATTTGTATCACCATTATTGTACATAGCAGAAACAGAAAATACTAATTTTTAAAACATGTAGTAGCTTACAGTATGAAAATTACTTATGATGATGATTTTTTTGAGTTAATATTCTAATTTCATAAGTTCTAGGAGCAATATTCAAAAGGACTATGTGAAGCAGTATTTGAAACAGTATAAAATAAATAATTTTTCATTGGTTCTAGACACATAGACAGCTCAGGCATGCTAATCTCAACTATGTGTTGAAAGGTGAAATAATACTTTGGCTTCTTTCATTATTTTGTTTAGTCTATTACATGTGTGTTACTGGAACACCTTCAGAGATCAAAGAGAAATTGGAGGTTTACCTGTTACGTTTGTACCGTCTGACCTTTGACACCAGACTGTCCGGGAGGAGCCCTTCCAAGCACTCGCCATCCACTTATACTCATAGCACTGTCCATCTGCGGAGAGGTGACTTACATTAGTAGAAGCATTTGGTAGCCCCGGAACAATCATGGAGATACAGGGTTAACAAATGCTTAGGAAAACTGAAAAGTGATAAATCCATTTCTGAGGATCAAATGTCAATTTCATGTCTGGAAGTTGCTATGCAAATGTAATAAAATTGCAATCGTATGCCTAAATCCCAACTAATTTTTCACATCTACTGTCACATGACCTGGTGGGAACTTGAGTTTATGATTTAATTCCATGGCTTATTTTTAAAGTGTTATGAAATATGAAACATAGAGACAGTTATGGAGAAGTACATATTTAATCATTATCATGCAAATCTAAGAAATATTACCACAGACATATTTATTTAATTATTATTTGCTTGTTGATGGATAAAATGAGGTACGCACTTGAGGTCCATTATCTTCTGTCCCACTCTTAAGTCCTTCCCTTTCCCGGTAACACATGCCATTCCTAACTAAATGTGACTTTCTGTGCCATGTCTTTTGCTTTCATTATATATATGCACAAATAGTATATAACATTTTATCCTTGCAATTTTAAAACTTACTGTATGTATGATTTTAATATTTCTTAGTCAATATTACAGATGAAATATTTCTATGTGATTTTCATGTAGATACAGTCAGTTTCACTGCCACATAGAAACCCATAGTACTAAATACTATAACATATTCAGCTATGTCCTCCATTCCATTGTTCTATTTTTACTATTAAAACAATACCTTGTTGGTCAAGCTTATGGAAGTTTATTGGTATTTTTAGATGAGTATCTAGAAGGGAAATGTCTACGTATCTTTGAGTATACAGGCAGCTGAAACCTTACCAAATACTGTCATTTTTTCCACCAGTAGTAGATGATTACCACTGCCCTGAATATTCATGAGCATTTCTAATTAGCTGATTTAAATTTTTATCATTCTTATATGAAAAGCTAACGTATCATGTTTAACTGAAATTCTTTGATTACTAAAGTTATCAAACAGTTACAAGAAATATTTTTGGGTGTTTGAGTTTTTGCTAATGGGAGCTGATTACTTACTTATTTTGGTTATTTAATCCCACAAGTGACTGACATCTTTGCTTTTACTCACTGAATTGAGGGGATTTATTTAAAATAGTGATCTTCAAACTAAAATTCAGGAACCATGACAGACCTTGACATCCATGTGAGGATGTTCTCTTTTCAATTGCATATCTATGCATATATATATATATATATATATATATATATATATATATATATACTAAAATAAGATTGGGTAAAGAAGGAATGAGACTATCTCAGTATCTTCCTTCAGACAGAATTTATATATTTACAAAAATCTAAAACAAGACTGTTCTTGTCCTCAAAATTTTCCTTTTGTTATGGAAAAGTTTTATATTTCAGGAAACATTTATGGCAACATACAACTAATTTATTATTACTTAAAGCAAATTATTAAATATTTAAAAGTTTATCAGTGTTCATCTAAGTGGATGTGATTAATGTGATGCATTAATAATCTATATAATTTATGTATTTCTTAAATTATTAATATTGACATAATTTGCAAAAGAAAAGCTCTTTGTGGTCCTCAACAATTTTAAGGCTGTAAAATCTGAGGGATCAAAAGTTTCAAAGCTGCTGATCTAGAAACTGATATTACTTAGAACTAACTGGCTTCAGAAACAACTTTCAATGTGTTAGTTTTTCATGATCTATTTTGCTGTGTATAAAGTTCAATTTAATATAACTTTTAATATTTTTCCTTTTCCTTGTGTCTTGGACTGGTATTTAGAAAATTCTTCTTCATTGTGAGTTCAGAAAAATATTTTTTTTCATATTTTCTTCAAACATTTTACAGCTTTACTGTTTACATTTAGGCGTACTGTTTAACTGGAATGTAATTTTATATTACGAGTGCTAAGATGACTTCAGAAAACTTTGTATGGATTAAAAATTACGGCCACACTATTCACCCACTCATTCTCTGCTTTCATTCTCCCCTTTACTCATATGTGAGAATTCATTCCTGAGATTCTCTATCCTACTTTACAGGTGTAATTATTTTATTATTAATGATCCTTCTTTGTAACTAAGCATTGACAAAAATCTATGATATTAGTCTTGAATAAAGCTACATAATTCAATAGATTTGTCTCAATTTCTCTTAAGATTTTTAGGCTCATTTCTCTCCAAATTAATAAAAGGACCTATTTCTCAAGTTATTTTAGTTGTCTGCCAAAATTGCACTGAATTTACAGGAAAATTTATATAAAACTGACCTTTTGTATTGAAGGTCTTTATCCATGATTCTGCAGTATTTTATCAATGTTTTAAGTCTTTTTGCCTTCAATATGATTTTGTAATTTTTTCTTATATGACTTACTTCGTTTTGTCAGACTTCTACTTGTAGAGTGATATTTTATGGTTAACATAATTTTATAATTGGATCTTTCTGTAAAAGTAAGACTTTCAGAAGTATACTAGCTTTTAAATCATAATTTTAAATTCCTTACTTCCAAAATCTTGTTGATAAATTATCATAAAAATTTTAATATACATTTTTTTCCTTCCAGTTTAAATTTGGTTCACAAGTTTTGGTAAATGAGGAAAATTCTGTACTCTTCTTAACATGTATTTAAAACTCAGATCCTGCTTGCTTCTGTTAATGTGTAGAAATATAACAGACTTTTCTAATATTAAGGTAAATTTATATTTACAGAATGTTGTAACTAGTCATGGTATCAATTATACATTAAATTAGTTATTGTTTTCTTAGGTAATAATTTTTATGGGATTTGACATTTAGTATCAGAGGTAATTTGATTTCATTGAGTAGTTTCAGTGTTAAGGTTATAGTATCCGAGGAGCTTGGGGGATTTTCCTTACTCTTTTCTCCCCACTTAATTTGCTTGTATTTTGCTTTTTCTTTAAATTGGATTGCCAGTATACTTTATTTGTATTTAACTTAATTTTTTTTGCTCTCTCACCATGTTTATTTTTGCTGATTTTCTCCTCTCAGGATAGATAAGTTCAGTTCCTGAACAGTGTCCAGCCCTCCAACATAGCCACCTTCCATGTACACCTGACAGTACGTTTGCTAACTGGAGTAAGCTTGGACTTGCCAAACTCCATCCAGATATGGTCATACCATCCTGAACGCACCACTCTTGTCTGATTTGTATTTTGTTTTAAAGAAAGAAAAAATAAATAAAAGATTCTCTGTGGTTATTGAATGTGTCACGTGTTGTCAATATTGAGTGAATAGCAGCATCTGTGTCTATACAAACATACATAGACACACAACATATATCAACTTACATGTTCTGTGTCGTTACATTAAAATTAAAACTGCTAATTTATTTTATTCAAACTTTTTAAAAATTTAGTTTACAGTTGTTATAGATTTAGCTTGTGTTCTTGATAGAAGTACACATCACATATTGTTCATTTTATGCTTTTCTTTCTTGCTTGCTTCCTTCCTTTCCTCTCTTTCTTTCTCTCCCTCTGTCCTTTCCTTTTTCTCTACTTTCTTTCTTTCCTTCTTTGTTGGTTTTTGATACCAGGCCTTAAGACCAAACTGGCCTTGAACTTACTATGTAGTATAGGCAGATCTCAAATTCATGGCACTCCTCCTGCCTCAGCCTCCTAAGTGCTGGGATTACAAGCATGCACCACCACACCTGGCTAAAATTGCTAATTCTTATCAGCAACTTGATTTACTAATTTCTGAGAAGAGTAAAGTCTCCTATTTTGCTGTGTTTTATAATTTTTCTTTTACCATTTAAGTAAATGAAAATATAATTCATATATAATTATTGTTAGATTCATATATAATTATTGTTATAAGTATAAAATATGTTCTTAATTGTCTCAGCCTTCTTTAGCTCATAAACCTGAAAAGCACCTGTACTTCTACCTGTTTTATGTCTAATTTATTATGGGCAGTAGGATTTTTCTTCTTCTAAAATTATATATTTAAGAATATTACCATTAATTTAATTCTCATCGTTAAGTGGTATTTTTGAAGATTTGCTTAATGGAAAAGCATTTATTTTTTGTAGTACTAGAGATTGAATTCAGAAACTTTACCACTGAGCTACATCATCAATCCTTTTTTATTTTATATTTTATTTGAGAGAGTCTCATTAAATTGTCCAAGCTGCTTTCAATTCTCAATGCTCCTTCCTAACATACCCGGAGGACAGGATTACAGGCATGTTCCATGACACCCAGCTGAACTGTCTTTATCTTATGATTTGACACAAAACTAAAATGAAACATTTACTGAAGTGTTGACACTCACCATCACACGACCTTGTTTCTAACATCTGCTCTGGGCACAGATGTTGATTCTCTAGTTCTTGTATAATCACTGCTCTAGATCGGACCTGTATTCCGCCAAAGCCAAGATCCTCACCATTCACACAGGTCAGCTGACACAGGCTCCACGAAGACCAGTTCTCCAAGTAACAGTCACCTGAAAACCACAGACACATGGAGAATGGCCAGCCAAATATACTCCCTGTAATTCTAATCTCACTGTGATGTTTATAGGTATGCTGTTTGTTTATAGTGTTTAAAAATTTGGATAAGCATGTAGTAATTTCAAGTTTCTAAACAATTTTCTAAGTTTTGTAACTATTGTTATTTTCTGAGTGATTACTTGCTATAATTTTCTCATTATGATTACCTCCTAAGAGATACGTGGCTAAACCACTCATATCTCTTGTATGGCATCATAAAGGAGTTTATTGTTTTCTAGGTATTCATAACTTCAAAGCAATGTGAAGCCCAAGGGTAAGGAAGCTGGTAGTTCTGTGTTGTGTCCATTTCTTCACAGAGGTACTGAGGTGAGATGGCGAGTTGAGAGCTGCAGTAATGGAAATGATGCTATTTGTTTTGATCTACATATTTAATCATTTGTTTATAAATATTTATTAAAGAATAATATATAGTACATGACAAATTACTACATATCTTAAATAGCTGGTAATAGTAGATAGCTGAATTTTCATAATCTGATTCCATATCCATGTCATCAACATTAAATCAAGGAACAGAATCATCCTAAAATCTCAGAAGCCCCCACCGTATTATACAAATACTACATGCGTTTTTTGTGTGTGTCTGAATTATTTCATTCATTTATGTACATGAGAGCTATCATATGTTAATGCTTTTTTAACAGGTTCATTCTTACTGCTGGACCTTTTCGGTTGTATGAATATACTACAAATTACATACCCATTCTATTATTGATAGGTATATAGAGAGTTATATGTTTTCCCTATCATGAATAATGCTGCTGTGAATCTTTTAGCACAAGCCTGGTATGGGCATGTGCACACTCCCACATGTATTGTGATTGGGTCTATACATAACGCTGGAACTGCTGGGACATAGTGTATCCATGTTTTCAACATCTCCAACCATTCTGACAATAAGGAGGCCCTAATGAAATTTACTTTTCAAAATTTCCATTCATTCTTCATGACTGACTACTTGGTAATATGGTTCAATAGGTACCATTATAATGATGGATTCAAATCCATTACCATATACTATCGTTTCATCCAAATTACATGAATAATTCATATTGCCTTATTTTTTGCTGAAGATTACTAATATTAAGACAAAGTTGCCTGGTGATCTGATTAATGGAAAAGTATGTTATTATAGGAAATTCTGATTAGGAAATCCTGGCAATCTACATATTATTGACTGAGAGATACATGTATGATAGCAGAGTGATTTTTGTAGAGCTTTATTAGAGAATATCACTAGTGCTACTGAAGTTACAAAATAATCTAATAAATTTTAGAAATGATAAGAAAAATGAAGTGAAAATATTTTTATATATTCTAAGAAAGTTTTAGTAACACTTGTATCTCCTAGGAAATGATACATTTGGGTTACTTGGGTTTTTAATTATTCAGGAAAAACTAAGGCTAAAAAATATATCCTAATAACATGGGAGTAGCACAGCTTCACCTCTGTGGAAATAAGATGTATCCTTTCATTAGAAGGTTTTATCTATGTGTTTACTCTCATTTAACATTATATATTTTGCAAGAAAACTCAATCTTTTAACAATAGACGGTGAGTTATGTAATTATCATCCCAAAATGATGTATCTGAAAGTTCAGAGACTTAGTAACAGCAAATGAGAGTGAGGCTATACTGCACATACTTTCATATATATTTTGAGCATTTAAACCATTGCAATAAAAATAAGACTATACCATGCCTGCCCAAAGCACAACAATTAAATGCATGGAATGTATTTCCTAATTCAGTATTCTATTTTTAAAGCTTATTAGTTCACATATTGCTAGCCTTTCACACCTATCATTCGAGAAAACTAGCAAGAGAGGGACTGTAATGAATATGTTGCCATTTGTAAAAGAAGAGCAGCTTCCTTCTGGATTTGTGGTTACTTTAATTAAAATGCGATCTGTGTTATAGTCTGCATTATCATGATGTCTTGTGGTTTTCTTTTATATTATTTACCACAGATTATGATGTTATGCTTATGTCACTATTAGATTACTAACTGCTTCTGTCATTAGACATTGTATGTCTAACTTCAAGTCCAGTAGCAGGCCATAATAATACCTGATATACACAGGTCAAAAGAGTAAGTGATTGTGCTTTGGGAAGTATAGTGAAAATATGTAGTGGGAATCCACAGACAGGCACATACTAGTTCTCAGTAAAAACACCAGTTCTGAACACTGTGTTAGATCCTATAATGATCCTGTGATGGATGCTGGGCATTTGGCTTTGGAATTGGTAGACATTCCACACTACAGACTTGGTCATTTTGTGTGGGCATTCAGCCCATTTCTGTGGGCATTCAGCACATCAAATTCACAGGTGCAGTTCTTCCCCATGCCCTAGAGCCGTCGCTTCTGCCACGGTCTCATGGTGGTGTACTGTGGCTCATAGTGATTTTATTAAATTGAACGGTTTGTGAGGTCTTCACTGAGATCAGACCAGCTTCACGAACTGGAAGTGGTCCACCACAATTGCTGGATCAGCTTTTATTGGCAAGTGCAAGACTAAGAATAAATACACTGTCTAGCTCTAAAAAGTCATTTTATTTATCTAGAACATGTAACATGACTCTGCCTGCTTAAAAGTTTCAGTGTGTAATGCAGAATAGTTTACTACAGACACAGTGTTGTACAGCAGACCTGGAGAGCTTACACAGCTTTCATAACTAAAACTATATCCTTTGAATAAGGGTTGTTATTCTTCAGATTTTTGGTTTTTAAATGTTCTATATTTTAATATGTTGGAAATGAAAGTATTTGAGTATGCAGAGACCATTACAACACTTGAATGACTTTGATATCTAACTTACAGTTCAAATTTGGGTTACTTTACTTACTGCTTTTCTCAGTTTCAATTAGTTGATCTTCAGAATAAATAACAAAGTATAATTATCTCAAATAATTTATTTAATAAGCACTGAGTAAATTGAGGCATAATTAGATGGGTAATCTACTTTATTAGGTTTTTTATTTTAAAAAGTCAATCCTATACATTTTCCTCATTTAAAACAATCATAACACATATTCTTTTGTAGAGAAAATGTTTCATGCTGAATAATTACTTTGTAAAATCTTTATTTTTATTTTTAAGATCTTATTAAAATATTTAAAAAGAAATGTACATTTTTCTTATTTATAAAGAAATTAGGAGACTAAAACATTCCCATTTGTGAATAAAAAAGTTACTTCTAGTTTCTTTCCCTTCATACTACCACAAACTTTTGCCTAAATATATTTTTTAAAGGTGGGCTACCTACTGCTTTTTGACTTAAAATCTTCTCTGCAATTCTCTAATCAGTCTCATTTCTAAATGTTAACGTATCTTTTCCTCCAATATTTCTACACTATTAAACCATTTGCTTTCTATATTTTAATATCTTATACTCTTTTTGTCTATCACTGATTCTTAACAGTATCATTCAATATTTTCTTCTATAATTTTATTATGTTATTTTGTCTTCAGTTGCAGACGGTTAGACTTTTGTTTTTTGGCAATAGAGAGTGAGCAGAGTTTTGCACTAAACTACACCCCTAGTTCTTTTTAGATACTTCTATTTTGAAACAGCATCCTGTTAAATTATTAAATTTCCAAACTGAGATCAAATTTACCAGTCCTGCTGCAGCCTCTCAAGTCCTGGGATTGCAGGTGTGTACCACCATGCTCAACTGACCTTTCTTTATAAATGTTTACTGAGTTTCCCATGGTATGCTTTAACTGTAGCATATGTAGGTGTGAGTTGATTGTAAATTCTATTCAGGGTTCAGAGTAACCTTTCATGATAAGAATGTATAAACAAAAAATATGAAGGAATCTTGAAAACATTATGCAAAGTGAAAGCCAGCCACACAAAAAATTCAAATCTTCTTTAAATCTTCTTTAGCCTTATGTATTTGAATGTTGCCTATTCCTTACTCTATTTTCTGCTGAAAGTCTCAAATAGATTATGTTCAAGGCCCAATTTCTGAACTTCTATACTATGTTTTCCATGTGAGACCAAAGCCTGAAAGCTTTGATTCTTATCCTCTGCAAATGGTAAAGCTCCCAAGAGAGAATTCGTGAGAGACTGATCCCATCATCCCTGCACTAATGAGGCAGTGCCCTGTTTATCCACAGGCATGGTGCCTAAGTTGCTGGTACAGGACCTGTAGTTATTATTCATAAAACTACTGACATTCCTTGACTTACCTATATATGTAAAACCTTCTTGGCCATGGCCCTGGGAGGAAATCACCAAGATAGATTTGTTCTGTTGCTGTTACCTGGGCAAGGTTGGGTGCAGGTTTCCTCCAGAATCATTTTTTTATTACCATCTACAATGGGTTCAATGTCAGCGCAGAATTCCTCATCCACCACTTTGCTGAAATCATCAGTTGAGCCATCGCTGACTACACAGGAAATGTTCCTTGTTCTGGTTCCTCCTCCACACTGGGCATCCTGGAATGGAGGAAGAAATGACTAATTAGCAAAAGGAAAATAATTCATTAGGGAGTTCATCACTTACAGTCATCTCTGCATCATTGACTTTGATTTATGAACAGTTGGAGAACCATTTGAAACCCTAGGGAAGAAGTCTTATGGGACACAAGCTATAAAGCACACACTGAACAATTTATTTGTTTTCCAGCCAATGACAGGCAAATAAATTTTCATTAAAATGAATGGGTCTCCAAATGATTCTGAAAGTACAGGACAGGGAATGTTTGTTTTCAAAACTAATTAAATGGTTGTAAAATAGCAAAGTAACTAAAATCTTTGAGCAGGAACCTGTAAAACATTTCTGTAATCAAATCTTTACAGATACACAGTTCACAAAACTTCTTGAGATTTGATACCTGCACTTGGCATGCAGACCACTGGCCATACTGCCATCGATAACAGGGCTTCACTGGGCAGGGCTTGGACTGTTCCATCAGGGAAGGACATGGTCTTCCATCCCCTTGAAAGGGCTGGGTCACTGTTCGTCTTCGGATCATTTTTCCTTTCAGACATACAAAGTGATGTGACTTCAGTGATATGCTATGATTGTGCAAGCAGATATCTTACTGGGAAGAGGCAGCATAGAGATCTCTCCAGGAGACCCAGGAATAAATAAAGCTAAAGCTCCTATGTTTTAGAAAGAAAGACTCACTATCTAGAAGTCTTTCTAAAGTTAGCTGACATGATTGAAAGAGTGATATTTTATTTCATGTATCTCAACAACTAGCCTAATGCTAATTGTACAAACAAACCTGTAAGGCCACATGTTTGAGAACATTCTGACCAAGGAGACCAGTCAGACAGCTGGCAATTCACAGGGCATTCCACCACGCAGGACATGTTCATCTGCCAGTGCTTCTCACGGCCAAGCTGAAAAACACAGAGGGAGATCTATTTAGGACGTACAGGTGGTGGGAAGGAGGGGAGGAAAGAAAGAAAAAGTGAGAAGAGAAGGGGAGGAGAGAGGAGAGGAGAGGAGAGGAGAAAAGAGAAGAGGAGAAGAGAGGAGCGGAGATCCATACTTAAGTGCAATGCAAACAATGGATTTAATCTGCAAATTGGTTAAATTTTCTTAAATGAGGAAAACTTAAGTATTAGCACAATTACTATTAATTCAAAGGCAAGCATATAATCAATATATAGATCCATAAATATCTTCAGAATATTATTTGTTTTTTACATGTTAAAACAAAAAGGTAAAGATTTTAAAGACAAACTGCCACTCCAGCTAATGATATAACGTGATGAGACAATGTAAAATAGTAGTTTTGTGCTGGGATGGAGCTCAGTCATTGACAGTGCTTAGCATCTGCAGAGCCGTCAGTCCTCGCCATCCCCCATCTCTTTGTCAAAAGGACAAGTGACTCCTCTGAGTGTTTCTGATAATGAATGTTTTATCTGCATTGTTAAACAAACATTTTCTAAAACTCATCTCAGCAGCTAACTGTAACAAAATTATTTATTTTGTTGTTAAGCTTCCTATCAGATAACATCCCATTTTATTGGCATTTAGAGTTCATTGCTTATAATTTACATGTTCCACTGTAAAAAATCTAAGCAGAGGTTTCAAATTCATCCTCTGAATATTGTAACATGTAAATATTCTAAGCTACAAAGTATCATTGAAATAAGAAAAATTGAAGAACTTGATGGGAGAATATAATTTTTTTATCAATAGATTTTGGAAATGTAAAGGCCTTTGTTGTTTCCGTATGAAAATGAAACTTGTATTTTCTAATTTATACAGCAGAAGAAGATAACAGAAGAAACATTTTCTGTATTGTGTTTCTAGTTCTTTGCTCTAAGCTGTCTAAGCTGAGAGATGATCAGGTTAATGGCTTTTATACAACACAATGTATATATTTATACTGCTGATATTTTAAAATAAATAAGTGTATACAAGCATATTTAACTACATTCTCTATAGTATAAACATGTTTTCTTCTTCCATCTTTATTAGTATAAGTCTGGGGCACACACTAAATACATTTACTGTGGGGAATTGCTATATATACATATTACATCTTGATCCTTCATTTTTGTACTATTTCATTCCCTTGGTAAGCAAATCCGTTACATTTTTCACAGGAAATAGTTGACACTTCACTTTCAGGATAAAATTTTTTAACATATCAATTATAACTCATAAAACTTACAGGAAGTTAGGTATGTTTCTTTGAGTGATAATGATTAAAATAATGTCACATTTAAAGTAAATAATAGTTTTATAGAGAATTTGAATCACAGATTTCAACTACTATAACATGTTAGTAACAGGATAACTGTTTACAGATGCACTGGATATCTACTAATTAGGCATGTTAATTCTCTACTATTTTTCTACATTTATTGTATCTTTTTATGCACTTTCTCATCTGGTTATTTATCCACTCTTCACTTAGCTAAATGTATTAGTCTTCATTAAGAGATGTTTATTTAGAGTGTAAATAATAGGAAAGAAGAAATAAATTACTAGGTATCAGGTAAGTAAAAATCTCCAAAACACCCAAAGGAAGAAAATACTACATAAATGCTAGGAATGAGGCCCAACGTTCATTTTCTTCTTTGTTGGGCAGTAATGACATGTTTCTTTGTGGCAATTTGAGAAGCAGCAAGAGTTACCAACTGCTATTGCACTGAATGCAGGGTTTGCACATGCATTAGTAGTCGGGAAATCACTGTTTAAAAAGTCCCGTTTTTCTTGGAAATCTATACAGAGCAAGACGCATGAGTAAAGTGGGATGTGAGCTATTTAATCCAATCCCTCAGAAAGTAGCACCCCTCTAGTAAAGGTAGAACCAGAATGCTGGGATGTCAATTTCTAATTATCATGGAAGTATTCAAATTTTATGGTATTTTCACTTAAGGATAAACTTATCATACCTCTTAGACAACTGAGTTAGGTATTTCACAGATTTTTTATTTCATTTAAATCTGTGATCCTATTTATACCTTAATCTTTTTAGTCATATGAAATAGTTTAAAACTGGTCTCGTACGATTTGGGTTCAGCTTTCAAAATGCTCTCAGAACTACTCACTTCCTATTTTACCTGGTCCAGGATGGCATTTGTGTGTGCATTTGCCAAACAGAAGTAGATTGCAGAAAGCTCTCCAATTGGTATATAGCTACCCTAATCTCCATTCATAATAATGTTACTTGTATAATGGTTATGCTACTTCAAGGTCATTAACTTCAAAACCAAGATGATTAAGCTGTGAAATTTGAATTGTTTAATGTAAGAATAATCTAAATTGTGTTGTAAGATTACAGTGTGAGGGATTTATTAGCTAAATAACAAAACTTTTTCAGCACATCTGAGAGCTCTGCTCCCTTAAACACAGATTTAAGGAAGTTAGGTGCACAAGCCAAAGGTATCAAATGGTTTAAAGTATTTCTATCTAGAATTTTTTCTTACAAATTGGTACAGTTTACTCAGGGTTTATAATGTCACCTGGAATCTGCTGACACAATTTGTGGTAATCATTTCTGTTAGACTCCTCCAAGAGAGTATAAACTCCTCCTGACCTACTCCAGATCTATTGAAGCTTCTGCTTATGTTGGCATGAATTTGACCCAGTGAGCCTCAGATACACTTGGAGTAAAAAATCTCAGGAATGCGAGTGTCCTTTGGGTATGGAAATCAGATAAGGTTATTTGAATGTGAGGTAAAGCTTCATGAAAACTAAGGAAGGTCATTTTTTTTTAAATTGCAGAAGATCATCTAAGAATGATGACACTACATCTTCCAATTAGAGAATTAATAACTGTAATTGTCTGTACCTAAAAAGTAATAGTGGCAGATTTCATGTCTTTGTTTGAATTTCAAGCTGTATTATCCACATCTGAGCACTTGGGCTCTCACAGCTGGATATTAGATCTTAATATCAAAATCTGCTACCAAACCACAGGCAATCACTGTTTAGCAACAGAGAGAATACATAATGGGTCTTGGCAGGTGTCCCAGGCACTACAAAGATTCACATCAAATTATGAAATATGATGAGTAGTCCGATTAAGATTTATTGCCTTTGTTCACCTTGATTACTCATTATTTCACAAAAATTTCTTTGGGGATGGGTTAATTAGCATAGATTTGGGGTCTATGCAGAACAAAAACAGGAAATTACATGTGGAAATCAGTACTGTTGGAAGAAGCTAATAAATGGCTTGTGAATAGTACAGAAAACATCTGCTGTAATAAGTTGCATGAAGCACACAGGTCACTGGGTTCAACATGAAATGAAATTATTAGGGGAAAATTTCCTCACAAAGGTGTAACACAGCACCCACCCACCTCTTCACAATATTTGAGGTCCACTGATTTGCCATCACTTCGGACACAGTCCAACATCCTCGTTTTAATGCCATTTCCGCAAACTGCCTTCTCACTCAGCTGACACGTACTCCAGTCTGAAAGGAAGCCCATCATCAGAACAGAAGGCTGTGCATGAAACAGATTTCAAATGAAACTCTGATGACCTGAATCCCATGCTTAATTCAAAACTGCTTAGTAAGCCCTGCAATCAATCATCTCACATACAGAGCATATGGGTCCCAGCTTTGAACATATCAGGAGTCAGATAGAATTGCTGGGGTTGCACATAGCTGCAGGGATTATTTTTCAAGGCAGATGTCTAGTTGACAATCTTGATAGCTAGCTGTTTGGTGATATTGGAAAAATGACTTGGGCTCACAGATCAATGTCACTTAAATATTTTTTTCTAGTAAAAGTAGAATTTAAAATTTTAGTATTATTTTTATTGTAGCAAAATTACTATAATTTTAATAGACAGTACTTATGTAGCCATATTATAATAAAAGCACATTTTTTGATTTAAATTCAATTTATTTCAAAAAATAAATTTGGGTACATTGTTTAATTTTTTTACTTTATGTTTTTTTCAAAATAATTTTTCAACTTTTATCCAGCACATGCCAGAGAATTTTGATTTCCTTGGTGTCATATAAAGAAATTGAAGAGAAAAATCAAAAGAAATTAAAAAAAATGACAATGTTGTTGTTGTACTTATGAAATTCTAAAGTTAGCTTTGGTATTGTCCCAAATTATATAAGCTAATGAAATATTTTTTTGTATGCAAAATATTAGATAAATTTAGGGAAAACATTTATAAAGCTTGGTTTTCTGAAAAGCATCATATATTTTTCTCTATCTTCCATAACATTAATTTATTATTTTGGCTGATTTGAGACTGCTGATGTTTTTACAGCAAACTAGCCACACTTGTGAACTACCCAGACACTCAAGAATTGTTGCCTCAATACTTCGTGGCAAGTAAATGTCTGAAAAAGAAAGACATCTTTCAATAAACAAGAATTTGTGTTAAAAATATGTCTTTCGCTCACATCTCTAGAAAGTGGCTTCCCACTTCAATAGGATTACTTAGAATATTCACAACCTACTTTAGAAGACAATATCTGTTGAGATTTTTATTCTCTATATCTCAAAGTTTATCAAAACTAGAACAGATACATGTTTCTGTTGTTTAATAACGAATTATTTCAGGGAGCATAATAAATTCCAAGTCCAAAAAGCACACAGATGGAGATGAGCTATACTGAAGCGAATGTCTCAAGGCCATGGGATTTGGCCTTTAGCTCTGGGGTAAGATGACTCTTCACGTACCTGTCACATTATAATCATAGTGGTAGCAGTTTTTGTTCAGGTTACAGGGTTCCTTTTCGATAGCGTCAGGGCAGGCTCTTCCTTCATCAGCAGGTTGTCTGATGGGATTGGCAGACCTTTGCCGGAAACTGCTTTGATTGCAAGGCTTATAAAGAACAATATGGCTCCTCAGAAGGGTGAATTCTCAGCCGCACAATAGCTAGGACATTAGGCACAGTGCTGGAGCAGGAGTTTGAATATTTGGGCCACAGGCTAACTTGAGCAAGTCACTCTGATTATATTTCAGTTTTTCCACGTATAAAACTAAGGTGTTAACTGAGGCTGTGAAGTTCCATCTAGCTATAAAATACATAAGAGTCCATACGCCAGCTACTGACACACACATCATCTCACATCTACTCCAATACACACTCGGTCATGTTTACTATTGTATAATGCTAATGCCTTGAGCTAAACTTGTGCACACATTCTCTTTCACTTGGATAGTTTTTTAAAGGGTAATTTAAAATAACTATCTAGATACTAATGATTTTTCTTTTCCTAACGCATACAAATATATGCATACATCACAATTTAGCACCAAAAAGACTTGACTGTCATTCTACTGGTTCAGTCTTCAAGAATATTGGTTTTCTAAGAACAGGAAACATTTAAGGGCACAACTTGGACTTTTTAGTTTTCGGCTCCTTACTGTACTGTGGTCACACATGGCAATGGCCTTTACTATTCTTCTAGAATATGAATTATGAATTATTATACTGCTGCATTCTACAATGTTAGAATATTGAGAGGCTTATAACTTAGTATCTGTGTACTCAGCACTCCCAACAGAGTTCTGGGTAGTCAAAAGTTACGAAACAAGATGAATTTATAAAAGTAAAATATAAAGCCCAAGCAGCACAACTGTTCAACTAAGTTTTATTCTTTTTCCAAACATTTCTATGGCGAGCTGTCAGGAAGACAATGTATATTTCACCAACTCTCTTTTATACTTGGGGAAGTCTCAATTATTTTTCTAAAATGACTTTCCTTGGTCTTTTAAAACAGAAATGATATGAGCATAATTGCATCATAGTGGTTCCTGTTATTAGACTATCATTAATGACTTTAAGAAGAAACTGGATTCAATGTTCCCTATCTTATAGAAATGGAATCTTTCTGAAACAGTCTGTGATAGTAAGAATTTAAAAAGAAAGGAATCTGACAATTATCAACATGATTAGACGTTGTAGAAGGTAGCTCAAATATGTGGCATAACTTCAAATCTTATAGAAAGGAATTTAAAAAGAAGTTTATTTGCATGCTGTTATGGCTCAAAGATGTGGTCATAGATCGGGCTTTTTCAGAGGTGACTGGATCTAAAATGTGTAACACTTGGATTGACTTACGGTGCAATGCTAGGGTCAAGAGCACTAGGATAAAGGGTGTGAGTGAGAAAGAGCCATGGTCATTCCTTGTGGCTGTACTACCCTGCCCACCATGCACTGTTTCTTCACTGTGGTGCCTGTCTGCCACACCATCCTTACTTGAAGCCAGCCAATTATGGACTGAAAGTTCTATAAACTGTGTCATGGTTTGTGTTCACATGACCCCCTCCCCACTGTAAGCCTCATGCAATCTTAGATGCTGCTGAATCTAGCATTTGTGATTGGGTTGTTGTCTAGCACTGGGATTAGTGATGTGAGTACTACAGCCACCCAGGGGCAGAGCCGACATACAGTGCAAGGGCAGGAAGAAGGCTTTTCTTCTCCCTTTTGCTCTGTGCCTGCTTGCTGTTTACAGTGGCCATGAACTGCTGCCCCACTATGCCTCCCTGCCTTGTAGGCAGCTGAGTATGGACTGAAGCCTCCAAAACTGTAAGGAATAAAACTTGGCATCAGGTATTTTGTCTCAATGAGAGAAAAGTAAGACAAACTGTGAGCTAAATAAAACTTTCCTCCTTTAACTTTAGGTGTTAGGTGTTTTGTCTTAGCAATGAGAAAAGTAAGACATACGATCTTGTGAAAAAACTGGCTTTGCTTTGTACTTTAACCTGGTTTAAAGTCAAGTACCAGGTCTTTTTTGTCCCAGCTGTATCATTCAGTTGCCAGTCAACATCTTTGAAACAATTTTTCCTTAGAAAAAACACTGTAGACTTTTTCTTACCATTCTTCTATGGAGCATTTTAGCAAAGACAGTCTACACAGGTGAATTTTCCCCAGGCTTTTGATGCTTTTATTTAAAAAAAAAAATGTGTGTATCTATGGAGGTGTCAAGTACTAGTGAATTTCCTAAGTGACTAGCGGCGTTTCAAGTGATACCCTTTCCAGAGTACCATGGTAAGACCCTGCTGTTATTGAAATCCAGAAACTTTGGAATTTTGGAACTCTGAGCTGTCTCGGTCCAGGCCTACAGACAGTCAGTACATGGAAGGGAAATTACTGATGTGCATCGCTCTTCTTTATACTTAGATTCTTAGCCAGCATCTTTTGCTTTTTAGAGCTAACACTCCCACTATAGTGACCCCTCTGTGCGAAAGATTATTTCTACTACTTAAATAAAATGGATTGGGCAAAAGGCAAGAGGTGACAATAAACTGACACCATCAAAATGTTTTTACTGGAGCTTCCTTTTGTCTTTCCTTGAAGGTAATCATTTTCATCACTGCAGTTTTTCACATGCTGTGCATTTCTAAAACCAACAGAAGGCACTGTGTGCGCTGGGCTAGGGGCAAAAGGCTTACAAGTGGTGAAGCTGTTCAGTGTGAGAGGAAACATTGACCTTACATGACACTGTGAAAGAACGAAATGGCCAAGAAAACACGCACTGCATTGGAAAATTTGGTTCACAAACAGATTTTTACATCGAAGTTATCATGTTTCTTAATATTTTTAAAGATTCAGTGGTAGGGAATCAAGCAGATTTCATATTAATAAAATGATTAATTAATCTCACCAAAGCACACCGGGTCCACGGGCCCCATTCAGATATTACACAGTCCTCAGGGCAAGGTAATTTGCACTCTCGAGAGCCCAGAGGCATCTCCTCTGGGTCACAGAGGTAATCTTCCACAAGTTCAGAAGGGCCATCTGCTGTATTCTGCATGCATCTAGAAAAAAACATATGCCAGTAAAACAATCATAGCAATTAAAATAATCACAGAATAAGTGATTCTTATATTATCTCAGCACTGGGTCAGGAAGCTTTGTATCTAATGAATAACTGCCTCAAAAAATTAATCTTTAAAGGATTTGTTTCCCCCAAATATTTATAGTGCTTCTGCTTAAGGTAAAAATGTATGCTTTCACACATGATCATAATACTTGCGTGTATGTAAATTCTGTCTTGCAGGTGAGCTTTCCCTGAAAGGAAAGGGTCGCTCAGATTCACCTATGAGGCAGGAACTAATGAGAGTGGTTCAAAGAGACTCACAAAGTAGTTACAATTTTCATAAACCATGTTTGTCTTACAAAAAAGTGGATTCTGTAGAGAAAGTTGATGCGATTCGCATATGATGGAAGACAAGGCATATTGTGATACCTATATGAAAGATTTTATGCAGTTTGTCGGAAATAATTAGAGACATTTACCAATTTATTTTGTCACTTTAAAAGTAATTTCAGTCTCCATCTATTACTAACATGAAAAGAAAGTAAGAAGTGAAAAGAATGTAAACATAGTAGCACAGCCTCTAAATGTGGTTATAGGAATCTTCTTATATCTTGAGTTTTTAATATTTTTGTTTTTAATTAAACAAATTCAAACCTACCATTCAATTTCTAAGCAGTTATGAAGGACTCTGTACTTGTCTCGTAGGAATTCAATTAATGTGGCTTGTCTCTTACCACAGCAGCAATCTCTCTGGACTCATTAGTAGAAGAAAAAACTTTATTTCTGATCTATTACTTGAAAAAGGTCAACCAAATTAATAGGTTTGCAAAGAGAATAGCATCAGAGGAAATGGAAAGCAAGGCCGAGCTCTCAAGCCTCACAGACCACTGCGATGTTTTACCTGTCAGTTGAATTATGTTACCAATATTACCTGGAATCTCAATTTGCTCAGGGATTTACAGTCAGTAGGGGCACCGCATTTTTACAAATCTACTTTGCAGAATCATATTTCTATAAAGTGCTACCAAATGTAAAGGAAGTATCCTTTGCCTGTGAGATACATTCAGACTTGAAAAGTGTGCCATGGTCATGTCCTAATTGAGTTGATAGTCTGAAAAAATAATCGGGAAAATGTTTACCTCTGCATTTTCGGTATATGTTATATATGAAAAGCGGCCATAAAAACATACAAAGGTAGATATTTATTGATTTCATCACCAAAAAAAAAATCGAGCTATAATCACTTTGGGAGGATATTAGTTTCCCAGAAAAAGCTTTTCCAGCAAGAGCATTTAAAAAAATGTTCTTTTGCCAGAAGCTTGAAGAGGATACATGGAGACGAGTTAGTTCCCTGCTTAAAGCTGGATTTAATTTTGAGATGGCATTTATGAGAGACACTGCCACACGTACAAGGATTAGGTTGCAAAATTGCGTGTTGGACCAAGATCAGATGTTCAGTGTCTAGTAAGAAGTTATGTACATGGAGTTCATTTTCACACTTTTTCTTTTCATTTTGTATTATACAAGTCATGTATTCATTTGAGAAAAATCTGGACTGTATAATATATATAATATGTATTTAAAATATATAATTATATATTTATATACTTGATTACATTATTTATATTGGTTATATTTATCACTCAAAAATGCTTAACAGATTTTACTTCTAACAGACTACTATTTTAGACATGTACGTTCATTCCATAAAATAGAAACAAACAATCTACTAAGGGTTTTTTAAATTTTACTTCATAGTAACAATTTTTATTACCCTACAATACCGAATAAGTTTTTTGGTCAAGCATTGAAGCCAACAGAAGGCATTCTAAATTCATTTACTTTCTTCAAATTTTTGCCCTTTATTTCCTTCAATGAGCAAAAATAATGCTGTGAGAAAATAGAACAGTTTTAGAAATACAGAGGGTAGCACAAAATTTGAGATAAAGTGTGAGGCACGTGTGACAATAAGAGTATATTGTCCATGGGGGATTCAATGTCCACAGGTAACTGAATCTGCCTTTTTATTGTCATCGTGTGCTGGTGATTCTTTTTATATTTTATTTTATAATACAATAAAACAAAATAATACGAGAATAACAATTGTTTATATATTGTATATATTTATCTTCAAGGAAATTATTGAGTACATCAACAAAAAAAGATTTTCTCTTACAAAGAAACATATTAGCATAAAACTTTCTTTTTGATGAACTAAGAGAAACTAGTGATATAAATAAAGTGAATTAGCGTATGTATTAAGATATTTTGAAACATGGAATAGCAGTTTGGGGAACCATTTGAACCTCTCCCCACTTCCTGTTTGTCTCTCTTCCATTTTGCTCCTCATCTGCACACTTTACTCTGAGTTGGTCATACAAACAAAAGCTATGTGATAGTTAAGCTTGTGTTTCCCACTTACTCAATATTTGTTACCAAGTTCTATCCATTTACCTATGGATTCCTTGAGTGTGTCTTTCTTTTAAGGCGCTCTATTGAGTATAAATACCACATTTTCCTTGTCCATTCATCTGCTGATGGCACATGCAGTGTTTCCATGATCTAGCTTTTATAAGTTGTGCTATTAGAAACACGGGTACACTTACACCTCCTTGCAAAATAAGTCAAAATTATCACACAACAGGCAATCCTAAAAAATATGAAAATAATACAAATTTCTACCAAGGGTCATGCCCTCCTTGTTATGCCACATCAGTTTCAAAGAGGAGGACTGATCTTGGATAAATCTAAGCCTGCTCTTTTATAGATTCATCTGTCCTGAAAAGTCTCCCACGTTAGCATTTCAAAGGGACATTTTGGCCTTAATTTGCAGAAGATAAAGTTAGGGTGGTGAACTACAAACATCATTATGTGATTGGAGATCACATTCAATGCTGACCTCCTGTCCATTGACATCAAAGATATTTACTAAAAAAAAAAAATGATCTGACAATTTATTTTCTTTCATGTGTTCATAAATATTGAGAATATCTATTACAAAGCAAAAAGAAGTAATAGTGGTTGAAGGGGAAAATGAAAAAAATTAATAGCTGTTTAATTGTAAGTTTTTAAAAATACAGTAACTAAATGGATATAATTCTTAATGTAAGGGCAATTTATTTTCACTTTTAGAGAGAAAGTATTTAATTTGGAAGCAGGATAAGAAACAGAATTTCTTTTTCTTCCTTCTCCTTATGTACTTATTTTGTCTCTATACCTTTTCATGTGCAGGCCACCTTCATTAAGTTCCTTAGCAAAAGTAAATTGAGAGTTTAGATGGATTTTTGCAAGAAAATAGAAACTTCTGTTAGAAATAGTTATGTAGAGCTATGTAAACATGTAGATACATAAATATTTTATAAATATTAATTTGTTTTATTTGTCTATTGCAACATCAACCTTAAATCCATGAAAAGGTTATAGAAAAGAATGAACTTAATAACATATGGTGCCAATGTTTTGGATTTTATTTTAAATTTGTCTTTACTGTGTCTCTGAGCAAGGTTAGAAGAAACATATAATTACAGAGTAACAGGAGATTTGCTTGAATTTCAACTCTTGAGTTTTCCTAATATTTCAACTCTTGAGTTTTCCAATTTCCTAATTGGAATCTAATTTATAAGATGTAGATGATGATAAAAACCTCAAACAACTGTTTTATAGGTTCTAGAACTTTTTTTTGTTTGTTTGTTTTTTTCCTTTTTATCGGTACCAGGGATGGAACTCACGACTGCCTGCTTACAAGGCAGGCGGTTATGCTGCTGAGCTAAATCCCCAGCCCTGGTTCTAGAACTTTTAAGTGCATGTGATGCACGTGACAGAGACTATATGGTCAATTTAACAGATACCAAACTTAGGCAGCAAGGAATCTCACAAGTATGACAAAATTTTATTTGGAAAAAAGGTAGAGTTCAATAAAGGTGCCAACGCATAAGTGGATCTGTAAAGACAAGAATGTTTGTATTAAGTTTTTTCAGTAGAATAGCCACCCGTGGCTATTGAGCACTTGGAATATAGCTAGTGTGAATGAAGAAATGTGTTTTAAACTTTATCTCTCATTAGTTTAAATTGGAACCAAAATAGCAAGTCAGAACTAATAGCTACCTGATTCAGAATGCACAGCCACAGATTAGAGTGACAGGCAGTAGCCAGCCAGGGGCTCTAGGGACTGCTCTTCAAGAGTAAGGAAGTAAAGTTTTTCAAGTAAAGAAAAGAGTATCTCAAACTTTTGGCTGAAGCAGATCCTCTTAGAGATCACCACAAGCCCAATTCCCTAAAAACAAAACTAAAGACAGTGTTATTTCAGAGCCCAGAGAGATGTCAGCACTCACATCAGACCAGGTAAATTTGGAAGCTGGCCTCTCTGTGGAATCAGGAGGAGCCTTACCTCACTTTTCGGGTCTGCACGCCTTCTCCACAGTTATCCCGCATATTCACGAAGGTCACCTTGCAAACACTCCATGGCTCTGTGACCCATACGTATTGGTTGCAGTCACTATGGCATGGAACGACTTCATACACCTGAAACACATAGTTCTCAGGGATCTCAGGGAGTCCAGGGAGAGAGTGGGAGGACTCACACTTTACACTTTTACTTCATTGTTAAGATACTTCTATTCTTTCTCTTATGGTTCATTACTCTAGGAATGAGAGAACTTCTTGAGAATTCAAGTATTAAATGGGAGACTGGCTATGTTGCATCCTGTTATTCTACTACTAAGTTATCAGTATAGATCTGGTTCATTGGACCAGATTAAAGACATCTTTCCATGTTCCTACGCTTACTGCACCGTATATGATTTTCTGGACCATTTGTCTTGTCTACAACTTTGTGTCTTCAGTATTTAGCTCTGAGTACTCATTTGTTAGCCATCAGTAGAGATTTGTTTAAAGAATGAAATAATTAATTAATTAAATGATTATATGAGCACAGCTGTTTTATGAAAAAATTTAATTTGGTCCATTTTGTAGATAACTATATATGACAATAGGAATTAAAATTTTTTGGTTTTCATGCAGAAAACAATTAAACAGAAATCATATGAAATAAATCCATCTTAAAAACTAATCGATGATCATTTGGGACTTGGATGTAGGGTCTGGAATTAATACCGCATTATATACAGGGATAGTCTGAAGCCTTAGGATCATGAAAACAAAGCAAACTGTCTATACTTCATGTCTATAATGGCTGTCAACCCCATATTGGTTATGACTTTTAGTTTAAGGCATTTTAGAGTAGAGAAACAATTACATTATCTGCTCAGTGAGAAAATACAAAGGAAAAAAGTGGATCATAATCTACCACGATCAAGATGACACAACGGCTAAAGAAAAATCTTTTAAATTGTTTGCATAATCTGTGATGACCCGAATTTATTTTTTGTTACACACATGTACAAGTTTTATGTAACTAACTTCTGAAAAAATAGATTTAAATAGCTCTTTGGAGTTATTCATTTGTGCAAATTTTATTGGGCACAATAAAGTGGACCTATTTCAAACAGGAATATATGCACCGTTGGAATAAGACCCTACTGCCACTCTTACAAGTGAATGCATTCACCTTTGGGTGCTGTGTTAAAACAGGATTAACCATCACCCTGCAACTTCTGGGAAGAGTTGAAGGCAAACCACTGTTCTTTGCAATTCTTTCATAGCTTTCATTTTAATCTTTCACTTTGCCATGAAGGCAAATCAGTTCTGAACACCTGGCCGCACATGTATTTTGGGCCTGCAACAGCCCCGCCCCTTTGCAAAGCACAAGAACGTGAATGAGCAGTGTCACTGCCTCGTCCAGGGAGGAACACCTCTCCCCTCTGGCCTTCATGTTAGATGAAAAAACCCAGTTACCTATGCTAGGAGACAAACAGGGAATAGCTAGAGAAAAAATAATGAAAATGGGATGTTTTTCCCGGAAAGACATAAAAGACAATAGCAAGAAAAAAAAATACATTCTCAGAAATCAGGATTATTTTTAGTGCTCTATTAAGAATTAGTAGGTTTAAGAGTACTTACCTGTGCCTGGTGCAATGTTCAACAGGAATGAAGAAAGGAACATAAACAAAAATGAATAAAAATGTTAATATATCTTAAAAACACAAGGACGTTTCAAGTATGGTTATATATAAAGGCTTATTTCTTATGAGGGATTAGAACTCTTTTATGCTTTAGAAGCGGAAAATCACCTGTTTACTATTGCTGAAAAGTAAGGTATGAGAACAGGTATAACAAACAGCTCAGCCAAGGAAAGGTTTAGATGAATAGGATGACGACATCTCAGCAAACTGAGCTGACCACTAAATGTCATGAAAAATTGATATATAACAACAAATAACTTGTGACACAGCCTTTCAGTGATCTATTATTTATATACTGATCTATCTATAGAGTAATTGACCCATTTATGGCTTGATGCATATGTTTTGAAGAAAAAATGGATTTGCTTCTTTTATTGGAAAATGGAAACATCATTTTCAATCCAATGAATTGCCTTTGATTTGAAGAATGAATAATTGTAATAAAAATCTATATGATTTGCAGTTTTAATGTTAATACAAAACATTACCTATTCTTTACTTTTTCTAAATAGTTTACTAATATATAAATCTCTAAAATTTCTATTTTTATGTAGAATATTTTGCTCAAAGTTAAATTTTTTCTTGGTTAGGAATAATATTTATTATCTCCTTCCCAAGCACAAATCACTTCTCAGAGGCATAAAGATATTATCCACATCATCAGTTAGTATATAGAAAATAACATATCCTATCAACAATATATTTCTTTCACTTTAAAAATAGTGGCCATTTTATTTTTCCATGTTGGTTCAAGAATAGTGTTATGGTTTTATTTTTTAGATCAAATCAAAACAGTATCTGTTTATAGGTAACTATTTCCTGATAGAGCCTCTCTTCCACCTCTAAAAAATTCTATATACTAAGTGATAAAGATTTCTTTTCATTAAGTTAACTTTATACTGAAAAAGAAAGAGAATGGTGGAGAAGGTATTTAGTCTTGTGCACAATAGTAAGCTTAGCTGAACTCTTACACTTTGTTTTATAATGTTTATATAAAATAAATCATCTCTTATCAAGTATTTATAATTGTAATTTACTGAAATGTAAATATGAATGCTATACCCTTAACCCACTGCAATTCCCTTCTATCTTTTTAATCTGTAATGAAAACATCACCATAAGGACAAGCTGCTATTTCTCCTGTTCCTCAGCTATTAAAAATGTCTTCTCCTTATTTCAGTCTACTTTTTTTTAGCTACTAATCTTCAGGTGTACTTCCAGAAGACAAGGAATGTCCATTAACATTCCGATCAAATTCTGCACACATGGGAAGTGACAGCAAATTATGTTAGGGTACAAATTTTCATAGCAAAGACAGCTTTACACAATATCCCAGAACTCTGGAATTCACTGTTGAATAAAATTCTTATTTAAATTGTAGAAATGAGTGTTTTGCACAAATATACATTTACACTAAAATAAAGTGGGTAAAAGTGTGAGACGAATCATAATTGGATCATAATTTACTAAAAATTTAAATTTGCTATTGAAAATTGGAGGTTTCAAAACTTATAGAGAGCCATTTCTTTTATTACAAATATTCCACTTCAGTTAATGTATGCCATATTTGTATAACCAATATCATGGAATTGAATTTTCATGAAATGCTCCAGTCCAAGGAAACCTGCTCACCAGTAGATGGCAGCACGTGTCCACATCATTAGCTCCTAGTTGCATTTAAAGGAGCAATCGAGCAACTTTGGATAAATCTTTGAAAATAATTTCTACAGAATTCAATTCTCAACTGTCATCCTTTACTTATTCAGAGCTTATTTTTGATTTCTCCATAATGTGCTTTTGTTGTTATAAATAAATCTGAGTCGATTTTGGAAGGAAAATATGTGGACTAGTAAGCAGTGCTTGGAGATTTCAACTTTATGCACAAAATACTTCTATGTATTCACTTGATTGTAATTTAAATTCATACATCTGCATATGCTATTAATTCACAAGTCAGTAAAGTATAATTGACTGATATTCTTTCATTAGTCTTTTTACCTCCTGTCTCCAATGGATGACAAATAATGACTATTGACAATTAATGGGTTATGCATCCACACTCTAACAAAGATGCAGACAATATTTAAAAGTACCAATAACTAAATTGACAGTTGATTCATAGTGACTTTGAATTCCTCTATTTATTCTTCAATTTATTTTATATCAAATAAATTTAAATCAACAAGGAACACATTTTTCCCAATTTTAGGTACACATCCATATACTTCTGTCACTGTTATGTAACTGATAAGTGTTCTATATCTTTTCCAACATTCTAGGGGAACTCTAAGAATGACATAGTCTTATTAAACAGGTTAGATACAACTGTGTGCCAGATTAAATATCTTGACATTATATTAAAGCAAGTGTCATTGTTCTTCCATTGAATTATACTATATTTACACACTTGGAGAGTACTGAATCTCCAGAGATTTCAGGAATAACATGTCTAATATGAGATTTTAATAACATACGTATATTTTATTCAGATATTCTGAAGAGAGATCACATTTCTTATTCAGGAGTGTTTACTCACTTGCCATTTTTGAGAAAAATAATAAATCCACGTGAACCTCAACAACATCTTAAATCTCTCACGGTTAAGAAAGTACCTGATTAACATGGTCCAGTTTGGGGCAGGGCCTTCCTCCATTATAGGGTTTTTCACGCAGCCATTTAGATCGCACCTTCACACCGCTGCCGCAGGACTTGCTGCAGCGGGACCAGTTGGACCACTCGCTGAGCTTGCAGTCCGAGGGGCAGGGGATGATGCAGGCCTCTTCAATGTAACCTGAGTGGAGGAGAGCAAGACAGAGCCATGTCCTCCACTTGTCACTCTTCCACTGCCACCCGCCATTCCAGCTCATTGAGAAGGACCCAGTTTGACTTGACAGCAGCATGCAAATGCAGAGATGTCTAACTGTTAGGGACTCAAATTAAATTCTGCAGGAAAATGACACATACATAGAGCCACTCTGTTCAAATAACAGCTGAGCAGCTGCCATGTGATCTGCTTAGGATTCATGCTCACCATATTTCAGCATTCCTGACTTTCTGACAGCCCTTGTTTAATTGACAATAACCTGTCTGCTGCCATATCATTCTAATGCTGCCAGAATGGAGCATTAAAAAAATAATCGTAACACAATTTTTTATAAAACCCTGTTAGTGTCATGCAAGGACAGGTTTTGGAGTCCATGGAACAGTCTTCCTCAGGAAGAAAAGCCAGTCTCTCTCAATCAATCTCTAAGAAAACCATTTCACTTAGCTCCTTATGTTTCCCTTCCTTGCAAATCAAATCTGAAGAAGAAAAGGCAAGGATGCTAAAAAAAAAAGAACAGTGCTTTATATTTTCTGAAGGTTGTCAATTTCAAAGAATCTTGACATCTTTTATCCATTTAGCTCTCTTAAAAGTTCTGTAAGTGTACGAGGCAGGTAAGGATATTTGATGTTCAGATATAAAAAAAAAAATGCAAACAGAAAATTGAAAAATCCAAATTCACATGGTGAGAAAAGGCCTGAGGTTTTGTCTGGTATGGATTTCCTCAATCACACACAAGTTAAATTAATAGTTACTAATTTGTTGAGGAAGAGGAAGCTTTTCCCTTGAATAGTCATTCATTATTAACTTGATCTGTCACAATATTAAATTGTTCTTATTATTTTAAAGAAAGTATGAGAAAACAATTCTTTTGGCCAACTGACTCTGGATAGGTGATTTCTTGCATAAGAAAACAATCCAATTTATTCTATATTGATTAGAGATTTGATTTTAAAATGATTTTATAATATAAACAGTTTATACTAGGGAGTTTCCGGTTGATTTAAAAATCACAAAAATCAGCTTGTGGTTTGGGTTTTAGTAGATTTGCTGAGTTGTGGAGTCTTCATTGCCCTCTAGTTTTATCTCCCCTCCAAGTCCCCTATTGGAAATTAACTTCCACATCCCCATCCCGTCCTCTGCCAACCACACTCTACCTTCTGTTTCTATGAAACTGTCTACTCTGAATGTTTACCACAAATGAATGGTCACACATGATACGGTCTTTGGTGATTGCCTTTAAAACCTAGTTTCATGCTTTTGGAAGTTGATCTATGCTGCAGCAGCTATCAGCACTTCAGTCCTATGATTGAATAATATCCCATTGTACAGATACGTTACCTTTTGTTTATCCATGCACCAATTAGTGGATGTTTCATTAGTTTCCATATTCTCCTAGTGCAAATAATGCTGCAACCACCATTTGTGTACAACTTTATATGACAATAGTACCGATTTATTTGGATATATACCTGGGAGTGGCACTTCTCAATCAGATGTTAATTCTGTTCAGTGTTTTGCTTTTTGAAATTGTGTCAAAGTGTTTCCCAAAATTACTGCCCTATTTTATATTCCACTAGCAATCTAGGAGTATTTCAGTTTCTAAATATCCTTGTTAAACTTGCTATTGTTAACTATTTTATCTTAGCATTCTCTGAAGAACAAAAGGTTTAAGCGCTAATGAATGAAGCCCATTATATTTATTCTTTGGTTGCTTGTGCTTTAGTATCACATTTATGAAACTATTACCTTAATCCAAGCTTACAAAGGTTTATATCTGTGTTTTCTTCTAAGTGTTTTATAACTTTAACTTTAATTTTGGTATGTTTCATTTTGAGCTAAATTTCTGTCAATGATAAAAGATCCAACTTTATTCTTTTTCATGAAGCTTTTGACAATGTATAACCATGACATGATGAGGTCTTAGTCTATCAGGTTAGTGAGATATTCTGCTCACATTTTCTGAAAATATTATTCTTTTCCTGCTTAATTATTTTGGCTCCTATGCTGGAACTGATCATAGGTATAAGATCTAAATTTTAAATTTTAAATTTCATTTCATTTATTAACATGCCCTGTGTCATGCCAGTATTGCACTGTCTAGACTAACTCTAATTTTCAGTAATCTTTGAAATTCAGAAGTGTGTATCTTTCTAGTATGTCTTCTTTTTCAAGATAGTTTTGGCTATTTTGAGTTTCATATATTTCTACATGCATTTTAGAATTAGTTGGTCTATTTCTGAAAGAGCACTGATACAAATTGCTTCAAATCTGTCCTACTTGGAAGTATTGTCATTTTAAAACAAGTACATGCTATTACTTTTCATTTACTTGGTCCTCTTTAATTTCAGGTCTTTAATTTCAATGGTCTTTTGGAGTTTCTTAGTATAGAAGGCTTGAATTTATTCTCAAGTATTTTATTTTTCTTTTACTCTAAGTGGATTTAAAATATAATCAACAAATACTGATTTTCTTAAATATAGGGCAATTAGACAATCATTAAATTGAAATGGCTAGTTTAATCTGTAAGCTTGTGCACAAATTGTCCTGATTGAAACAGTACCAAAAGCCAGGTGTGATGGTGCACACCTGTAATCCCGGCACTCAGGAGGCTGAGGCAGGAAGATAGTTGTGAGGTTGAGATCAGTGTGGGTTGCAAAGTGAGGTCAAGGCCAGCCTCGACTGCATGGTGAGATCCCATCTCAAAAAGACAAAAAGAAGAAAAAAAGCGTTAAAATGCTAGCAGGTTTATTAGCTATCTTTTTGTGATGGTAAATTATTTGAGACTGTTCAAAAGTATAGTCATCTCTCAAACCCATCTAGGACAGAGTTTGAGTTTAGAAGTTAATATCTTTTCTAGTGTTTACTCAGCTCTTCATTTTAGTGAAAAATTTTTATTAAGTTAATGATCCATTCACATGCAATTATTAAAAAAAGAGTTCTTCGAACCTGTTCCCCAGCCTCTTAGTGGTAATGAGATTATAATTTCAACTAAGACATTAACATTGATACAGTCCATTGAGCCTACTTAGGTTTCAACAGTTTTACTTGTTCTTGTGTGTGTGTGTGTGTGTGTAAGGCTGAAATTATGGAGCATTGCTTTAGGACACAGGCAGAACAAGAACAATGCGGAAGACAAGCAGATTTGTGACATATTTTTCTATATATAATCTGCCACACTTTCAAAGTTACGTACCATCTATTTTAAATTTTTATGATATGGCTTATACATAAGAGTACATGTTTCATCAGTATAAAGTTCAGTGAAAAACTAAAAAATTGTAACATTTCAAACCCTCCTTGCTGTGGCCTTCCAATCACTGTCTTTTAGGAGGGCAATCACAATCCTGACTTCTCACAACATATAAGGATTTTTCTTTATTTTATGTCAGTGTTTTCATATAGGATATACCAATTTGTTTAAGCTTTTTTCATTATGCATTGTTCAGCCACATTATTGAAGACTGTTTATTCTACTTGATGTGTAGCATGCTACTGAGTTGATATGTTGTGGCTCATTTATTCATTCTATTGTTGGTGAGCATTTAAATCATTTTTAATACAAGATTGTTGTTCCTAATGCTCCTTTGAACATTCTAGAACATGTATCTGTGTGTCTTCTGGTTAAAGACCAGAAGTATTTTTGTTCGGTATATTCTAGGAGAGAAATTGATGTCAGAGTGTGATCTTTTTTTGGGGAGTAGATGTTTGGGATCACATTTTAAAAATTATTTAAGCTTATCAATACTTTTCAGGTATCATGATCACATTTATTATAGGGAATTTATATCTGTGCCTGACATAACTTAATGTTTTTCCTACTCCCATCCCCTCCCTTTACCTCTCTTGGTCTCCATATTCGAAAAGCTTTGTTTTTCATATTTTCTTCCTTTCTTGTCATTTTTTACCTTCCTTTCTTTCCCTTTTCCTTCTCCTTAGTTCTCTTTCCCATTTGAACTTTTTCTTCCTAATTTACAATAGCTACTATATATTTTAGTCCTTACTTACACTTTCAGTTTCTCACAGGAGAGAAAGAATGATTGGAAACCTAAGTCTGTGTTTTTGTTCAGTGCATTTCTAGCAGAGAAATTGATGTATCAGAATCTGTTCTTATATGGCCTTATTTTAAATGAAGTTTAAAGGTATTTTTAAAAAATAATGGGGTCACAAATTTGGTATGAGGAACAGAATACAATGACAGGGTTTTCACTAGTGGTGACTGGTTACAGATAATCTGGAGGGCAGCTGTGCTCAGCGAAATTTTATCAACTGACACAGAAGACAGGAAGCAGGATTTATGAATGTGCTTTTGACAGTGAAGAAAGATTCTGAGGTATTGATAATGATTAAGAGGAAAGTTCAATAAAAATTGAAGAGGATTTTACAACAATGTTTTTGAAAAATTTAAAAAGCATAACTATTCTTTAAATGAATTGGAATGATGGGTTTAAATGTCTTACTTTTGAGGTAGGGAATTATTTAATCCCTCTTCACCATTCTTAGTTGATATGTATTTCAAATCTAATTTCTTTTTTTAATGATAATCAGCAAATAAATTTGCTTAATATATTAAACGATGTCCCCTAAAAGACTTGTAGTTGGATCAGTAATAATTTGTTTTAGTTGTAATAATTTAGTAAGTGGAATTCAACTGTAAAAATATCTTTCATCACTCCTGAAATCAGCGAATTTCTGTGATCAAATAATTTAAAAATGTTTATGCAAGTATGATGAATTTCAAAAACAATCTCAGTGATTGCCAAATATTATCATTGACTTTGGCAAAAGGAATGCAGTATTTCAAAATTAATGATATTGAAATATTTCTAGAAAAATAGCACATTTTCCCACTTTATGGAAAAATGATGTCAAAAGTAAGCCTCTTTTATTATTCAGTAATTGTAAATGAAAATGACATCACAAAACTTTTCATACAATTCTTCACAGAGTAGCTATCAATGTTTTATTTC